AACAAAATCAGCTGTTTTCATTAGACATTTTATAAGTTAACATAATGGAAAGTGATAAAAATCTAGTTTTATTCGGCATTATAAAATCGTGGCAAAGAAAAAGAACGATTATTATTAATCAGCTTTTAAATACTGATGCGATTATTTGGAATTTGAGCGGAACAGCTGATCTCCAATTCGCTTTGAGTGAGAGCGGTGTTTATACACTCTTTCTAACTGTCTGGAGAAATAAACTACCGATTTGAAATGGAGTGTGAGCCAAAACACTTCGCTCTTTCAAAGCGAATTGAAATTCAGTTTACACATATGTTTTGAATCGTGGCGAAATGAATTAAAGCGACTTATGCATGCGTATAAACGTAGTAAATGTCTTGCAGCGGTCACTTATATAAAGTCCATTGCAAGATACTGTCGCTTGAATGTCTTAAATGACCACTGCATGTCCAAGTCATGCAGATGACATCAACGACGAAATTCCCATTTATATGAAAAAGTCATGAACGACTTCCATACAAACGGAGCTCAAAGTCATTTAAGACGTAACTTTTCCGTACAAGACTCTTAAGTGACTAATGCATGACATTCGCTACGGGGTATTAATAGACTGATGCACACACATTCATATGCATATGTATGCGCATACATACGAGCACCAATATATTGGCCCGCCACGTTGTGTTGACTAGCTCCGCCAGTTTACTCGCGTCGTTAGTTCAAAATACATTTTTCTTTTGCATGTATATGATTTGCCAAGGGTCCCTGCTGGGGCGCCAATTGTAACGAAGCGTTTTGTTGACCCGCCGCTTCTTCTATATCGGTGGGGTATACTCGCCGTGTCCAGGGTTCGTTACAATAAATTTGTAGGCTACGGGGCTCCGGTAAATCGTACTTTATTGACTAAATTTCTTATTTTCTATAAGGAACATGTAACAAAAAAATCACAATGTCGCTTTTCAGTAATGTCGCTTCCAGTGGTTGGGTAACGACTCCGTGTCCCGTTACCGGCCCGTTATGTAGTAGTAGCGTAGCTTTAGTACTAGCGCCAATGAGTGGCGCGCTGCTAACGTAGGTAAGCGGTGCTCTGGGTTCGTCGGTAAGTGGCGTTCTGGTGACGCCGGAGAGTGGTGCTCTGACGTCGTTGACAAGTGGCGCTCTTCTCGCGCCAATGAGTATCGCTCTAGCGACGCCGGAGAGTAGCGCTCTGGTAACGTAGGTGAGTAGCGCTCTGACGACGCTCTGCTGACCGCGAGTCTCGCCCGTACGTGGCTTCACGTAGGCTGTGGTGGGCTCACGGTTCTCTTTCTTCTTCTGAGTGGGGGATGTCTTGTGTTGATATTTATCTATGCACAAGCAATTCCCGTTCTGTCGTAGTTATCGTCGCGACCACAGCTCTGTGCTGACTGACTGTTGAGCGACTGTGTTGTATCCAAGAATGATAGAATACAAGATTGCGCCTATGAGAGAGGATTTTTGAGAGTAATTTTTGCGTGACGTCATCTTGGTGCAATTGGGAGAGAGAAATGCCAAAACGCATATAAAAATATGTGAACAATGCAGAAAAATGTGTTAATATTAATATTACATGGGCCAATTTTGCAGGAATCAATAAACATACAAAGATTGATTAATTAGGAACACGTAGCAATAATTTTGGACATTTAGCCCTTTAGGTAAGTACGATTTTTAGCACATGAAAAAATGGATGTATTAACAGTGTTTGTAATTTCATGTAGACCAACAGGAAGGTCTGCAGCAAAGTGAATTTTTGGACTCGCCCCAAAGCATACATTGTAAAAAGCCATGCAGAGTGCATATTTATATTTGTGGACGGTAGCCAACCACCATAAACTCCACAGCTGTTGACTCCACAGCTTTTATTTGGCGATTTTTGTACCATTTTCGAGAGAATGCATGAGTGTGGCTTCTATCTATGTGTTCAAACATCTTTGAACATGTATGCATACATACATACATCTGCCAGGGTAATAAAACTGAACATAAAAAAACATATACTTACAATAATACTTACTGACACACAGAAAATACAGTCCACTTTCGAATAGAAGAAAAGTAAAATACATAAACATGAGAAATGAACAAAAACCCATAAATTGTAACACATTTAACTGTCAATATTTTGTACACAACCGAAATAAGATATCAATGCGTTGATCTCTTTTAATCTAATGTTCGCGCATACAAATGCATACAGCGATACATACATGCATTAGAAAATGCATTGATATTATATGCATGTCAACATATAGCACAACACTCAATCTACTGGAACAAATGTACTGAATAAATCTCCAGACAAGGAAGTTCAAAACCGAGGCAACGTTGAGCAGCATTCAGTAAAATCTACATCCAAAACAGCAGCAAATTTAAATAAATCAGTGACCAGCAAACCTGATGCGAAGTCTAGTATCAAACATTCTGGTACCAGTACAACGCGTAGTCATCGCGGATGTAGCGGTAATGATGAGATACAAAATATCGATCACATAACGGGTAATAACACCATTGATACAGTTAAATGGCAAACTCCTAGGCCCCCGGCAGGTCCACCTTCTGGCAAAATGTGGGATAAACATCATAAACGGCCAAAAATGCAAGGCGAGTTTCCTGAGATTTGGCGTAAGAGGAAGAAAGTCACACATCTTTAATAATATGTATAGTAATTATTATTATTTTATTAGTAGTTTACGTGAAATTCATGCGGAAGAAAACAACCAATTTAAAAATTCAATTTGAATCTCCCACCAGTATTGGCCGCCCGCAAGATGTTCAATTGTAAAATAAATTGAACATCTTTAGTATACAGTACATAAATAATCACTTGCCCTTGGCAATATGTTCAAACATCTTTGAACATGTATGCATACATACATACATCTGCCAGGGTAATAAAACTGAACATAAAAAAACATATACTTACCATAATACTTACTGACACACAGAAAATACAGTCCACTTTCGAATAGAAGAAAAGTAAAATACATAAACATGAGAAATGAACAAAAACCCATAAATTGTAACACATTTAACTGTCAATATTTTGTACACAACCGAAATAAGATATCAATGCGTTGATCTCTTTTAATCTACCCTGCAGTTCACTGGAGCTAGTTCCGTACTAGCGATAATACTGGCCCCCAAGAACCACCACTAGTTCCGCGCCAATCTCCTTTACATGTATTCAACTGGCGAATTTAACGTGGACATGTCCTACGAAGGGGTCAATTGTCTCCCCTTTGCATTACTCTGCACTAGCTATTTCGCTTACCCCAAAATACCATATATTTCGCGTGCATCAGAAGATAAGCTATTTCGTTAGACATAGAAGTCCAGCAATTTCGCTAACTACGAAAGGTTATCTAATTTCATAGCCACAGAAAGCAAAAGAATTCGCTAGTCCATAGGAGCAAAGAATTTCACTACTGAAGCAAATCATTAAAACCAGTTTTCTGTTTTTTTAAATCAAGTTAAATTATTTTTATTCAGTCTTAAAAAAAGTTAAATACATTTCACATGTTAAGTGGTATTTTTTTTTTTTGGTTTTGATTACATTTTTAATATATATGAACCCCATAGTTTTATATACAGTGCCGGACTAAAGTTTTCGCGCAGAGAATTTTTCGCAATATATGCAAAGTTTTTCATTCTAATTTATTTTCGAAAATTTTTTATAAAAATACAGTTCGTACTTCACCAAAAAACATAAAAACCAAATCTCTAAACTTTGCATACTAATTTGCAACTTTCTATTCAGATTTTTTAGAAAAATTGAATTTTCCTGAGTTTTGCACAAAGTTTAGAGATTTGGTTTTTATGTTTTTGGTGAAGTACGAACTGTATTTTTACAAACAATTTTAATAAAAATAAAATAAATTTATAAATTCACTTTTATAAGCGTTTTGCTTTTACATATACATATGTAAATTATTCGGTGCGAGTGTTTGCAAGCTTTTTAAAATGCCGCTTTTTCTGCAATTGGATTGCTTTTCTGTTTCTGCTGATCCGTTGCAATTTTCATTAATAGGAATGGAATCTGAAAATATAACTTTGTAATTTTTTTTCCGTGACTGTAAATATTTTTTCGACAGAAAAATAAATTTCGTATGTAGGTCAGTGTAATATACGAAATTTATTATTCGAAGTGACAGTTTAAATTGCGGGCAATCAAACTTACAATTATTGTCGGGTTGCAGTGCGATGCGTTTTATTTTTTTAGGTAGGCCAGCCATTTTTTAACTTGTGCTGCGTGTGGAAATTCATTGGTAGTTTATAAAAGATAGTTATTTTATTTGTTGTTTTATTATTATAATATTAAACAAAATTATGAGTAGCAGTGCAGCATAGGCATTATTATTAAATTATTATTGTAGGGAAAAACAATTCCTTTAGATTCTACATCTTTAAGTAAAAACGACTCATGTATATCAGAAGGCTCACTATCTGCTACACATATTCCTATAGCCATTGAACCAATTGGCTCGTTATAAAAGTTTTGAATGTTTTTTAATCGTCGCCCTATAATTTTGCCGCCTTGGTCGCGGCTAAATGAATGAACTAGAAAAGGAATATTATTTATTATATAACAATAGTTATCTGGAGTTTTGGAGCTAAGCTTAAATCCCTGAAAACTGCAAGATTCATCATTTTTACCTAATATTTTAGGCTCGCGTTCATAAGGGGGAAATGAAGCCTTTTCTTCAACAATTTTTCTGTATATTTGCTGTAGAATCAGTGTTGGTTTTTGTTGTAACTTCAAGTATTTATTAATCTAATTTGTTAACAATATTCAGTAATTTTAAGTAAGAACACGTGATAGCGGAAATCGTAATATAAGCGAAGTGGTCTGTAGTTTGCAAACGTCAACTTGCGAAGGATCTTAAGAAACAGTGTTGCATTAGATGCGTTATTCAGTTCTTAGGAACAGTGTTGCATTCAGATGCATCAGTCCCTCCGCACCTAGTCAAGAACCCTCCCTTTAGTCCTCATAGGCGAGCCTTCAACTGGTTACGGTGGCGACGGAGTAAGCCTTGGTCCGTACTCACGCGATACATCATACTGCCAACTTTGCTTTGAATTACACCAGGAATCCACGGTGGACCCCGTGCATAGTTCCTGGCGTAAACGTTTGTCGAAACAGCGTACGATGATTCCGACCCGGCCCTGGACCCTTGAGTGGGAGTGGGTACAAGCATATTAAGCCGTGTTTTTGGCTGGCGGCCATGTAGCAATTCCGCCGGCGACTTATTGCTACTGCCAATGGGACAAGTTCTGTAAGTGCTAAGAATGGTTAGTAGCGAATCTAAATGATTTTTACCGTCCGCGACTGCTTTCTTAAAGGCTTGCTTAAAGGTGCGCACAAAGCGTTCAGCTTCGCCGTTCGATGCCGGATGAAAAGGCGCAGTGGTGAGATGCGTAATCCCATTGCTGTTACAAAAAACCTGGAACTCGGCCGCTGAGAATTGCCGTCCGTTATCCGTGACTATGGTATCAGGCAGACCTTCGACAGAAAATATTACTTTTAAGGCATCGATCGTTGCTTTAGCCGTTATACTGGCCATGTTTGTTACAAATGGATATTTCGAAAATGCGTCGATGCATATAAGCCAAGTAGCGTTATGAAACGGCCCTGCAAAGTCCAAGTGTATGCGCTGCCATGGACGTTCAGCTACAGGCCAATTTGTATATGCTCGAGCTGGTGAAGATGTACTTTGCTGTTGGCATATTTCGCATTGTGAAACTTTCTTTTCTATGTGTGTATCCATAGAGGGCCACCAGCAGTGTTGACGCGCCATTTGCTTCATACGCGTCATACCCCAGTGTCCTTCATGCAGCAATTCAAGGACGGTTGCTTGTGCCGTCAACGGTAGGACCACACGCGTGTACTCTGTTCTCAATATAATGACCCCCATTTCCAAACTAAGCGCGTGCCGGTGAACAAAATACGGCTGTAGCTCGCGGTGTTGCGATGGAAGCTTCTCAGGCCACCCCTTTTCGATGAATCGCCACACTTGTTTAAGAGTGCGATCCTTTGCAGTTAGGTTTGCCAGATGTTGCACATTAAGTGGTGAAGCAGTTAGGTCAGATTCGACCTGCATGCATGCTTCACTTTGGTCGAACTCGGCATCCGGCCCTACTGGAAGCCGAGATAGAGCGTCTGCGTTACAATGCTTATCCGTTGGCCTATATCGTATAGTATACCGATAGGACATGAGCAGTAATGCCCAGCGCTGAAGGCGTTGTATCATCACAGACGGTAGTTGCTTATCAGGG